TTTGACCGATTTCAACTGATTTTGAGATTTGTGTTTTTCATGAGGCAAAACTTTTGGAAAGAGCTTTCAAAACTGATCTCAACTAGTATGAAGTATCACTAGAAGTCTGATAATCTTCAACACTGACATATGCTTTTATAAGTAGGGTACTAGTTATAATCAGTTTTGAACGCTCTTTTCGAAGGTTTTGTCTCATACAAAACATAAATCTCAAAAACAATGAGACTTAGTCGCAAAACTGCATTGTTTTTTTTTTCAACCAACTCCGAAACTTTTGTTTTATATTTCATGAATTTTGACGATGGCTTCCGATAGAGCAAGAAAAACTACTCATGGTTGATATAAACAATTCACATGAAACTACATTTTTAATAACAAAAAAAATGTCATCTTTGACTATATATTCAAGGAATTGATGCATCGATAAAATCGATGAATTATCTATAAAATCATTAGTTATAATTTGATTTCTTTATTAGAGCTCGTCTTATTTGTACTCTATCAAGAGGTCAAGAACCAAAACGTCCAGGTCCATTTGCAAGTAGTCGTCATGATGAAATACAATTTGAATTTCGTGACGGTGGCTGTAATGATGTAATTATAAAATAAATATTTTATTTTTATTAAAATAAATTTTTTTTTCTTTTGAAGTTTTTACGTTTAGTTCAAGAAGAACTAGTTAAAAAACGTTGGCTATTACAACCAGTTAAATCAACTACCATGGGAATAAATCCAACGACAGTCTGTTGAAAATTTGTTTTAAAAGTTTTGAATAAAAACTTCTTTTTTTCAAATTTATTAAAGAGTGATCGTTCACATCGTACAGGTATCTCAGGTATTGAAAATCATTTACAACATCAATTAAATGTTCAACATCAATCGATTAGTACTGCTTTTCAAGATCTAAATAAACTTATGCAACAAGTTAGTAGGATAATTATAGTTTTTTAGTCAACAAAAAAATGCTTTTCTTTCTTAAGGCTAAAGATATGGTTAATATATCAAAAACAATTGCAACTAAAATTCAAGAAAAACGTAATGATTTAACAAGTGATGAAGTAAGAATAATTTTCGATGACTGTTTGATGTGTTCTTTTTTTTCTTTTGTATCAATAAAGTTTATTATTTAGACAATTCGTTTTCGATCTTATTTACTCAGTCTTGGTATTGATAATCCAGTAACAAAAGAATCAGCTGGTAGTCAATATCATGTATCATTAGCTAAAGAATTGGCATCGGTTTTAGAAAAAGCATTAAAAGTAAGGAAAAAACATTGAATTTAGACTTAATAAAATGATCCATTTTTAAGGATACAAATGGAATAATGACATTAAGTGATGCATATTGTCGAATAAATCGTGCTCGTGGTTATGAAGTATGATCTTTATTAAAGTTTAGTAAAATTTTAAGATGAAAAAATTTCTTTTTGTTTTGTTCTAGTTAATTTCACCAGAAGATTTACTTAATGCAGCTATACATATGGAAGAATTAAACTTACCTGTTAGGTTAGAAGACATTTTTGTTAATTTTTTTTTATTTTTGAAAACAAACCTTCTTTGTATGTATGTCATTTTAGATTACGTGTATTAAGTTCGGGCACAAAAAGTTTTGAATTAACGAATCGAAATGAAAAGAAAGATTTACAGGAAATTGCCAATCTTGTAAGTATTCGCATTGTTTCAATAGAATTTAATATTATTTTATAAAATAAAAGGTTGAATCATCGATGTCAATGAGTGCAGATCAATTAGCTAATCTTATTGGTATTCCTGTAATTGTTGCCCGAGAAAGGTATTATATAATATTTTAAACAAAAACCAAAAGACTAGTTTTGGATTGTTGTTATTTATGTTTTTTTTTTTCTTATAGATTAATCGCTGCTGAAACATATGGTTTACTTTGCCGTGATGATTCGATTGAAGGACTTCGATTTTATCCGAATCAATTTTGACTTTATCATTTCTTTGCATTTATATTAATTTAATATAAATAATTATCTTTTCATATTTGCTAAAAAAAAAAGCATGCTTGAACAGTTAAACAATTTCATTTGTTTCGTAAAGATATGCGATATGTAGAAAATTTGTTTTAAACTTTAGAACTTTTGTTTTTTGGTTGCAACTTTCTAATTTTTTTTATGATTTATATATATGTCGAAGTGTTATTTATCAACGGAATAGATTTTGAGAATTCAACTAAGGCCTTTAGGCTTAGAAAAAAATTGAACATATGCAACATATTCGCTGTGAAAGCTGAAAAATTGTCATATTTATATCGTATTTTTCTTAAAATTTAATTTTCACGAAAAACATGTTGAATCTAGATATGAGGTTTACTAATGGTTTTTGACCGAGACCGAAACAATCTTGCCCATATTTAGATGAATCAGGCTGATTCTGATAATATAACATTTTTAGGTTGAATACAATGGGTAAGCTGATATTCTCATTATTAATGGTGCCCGATGGAATTAGTATATGCTTGAAAAGATTCATAATCATAATCTATCGACCTAGAATTATGATAATTCTACTGGGCGTTCGTTTTCTTTTGGATAAAATATTTATAAATGATAACTCTACGAGGTTTTGATCTGAAGTTTTGTCCATCGACAGATATTGAAATCATTGAAAAGTTGAGTTCAAATGAAATTTTTCTACTCGAGACCTTGAATTCTAACAAAAAAATTGATTCTGAAAAGTCTATAATGAGACTAGACTATCAAATGAACATTCGATTAAACTGAAATTTTTAAAACACCATAATAATCTCCAGTTGTGTGCCTATAGGCAAAATTTCAGGTTAATGGACTCATCAAGTGATCTTCTATAAATACCAAACCTAGAACAATGATCCATAATGGCAGATGGATAGATCATAAGGCGAAAATTATTTTAGACTTGTACTGGTCTTGTCGAACTCGATTGATGACGAAAGTACCAAGTCGATCAAGGCGTTACATTTAGAAACTCGACATCATTAGACATAACATATTCAATCGATCTAAAATTTATTTAACAAGGATTAGACAGAGATTCGAGTTTCGTGTTGTTTTTTTATTTTTGAAATTGACGTTATTATTGATATTTGATGCATTTTACCAGTAAGTCCGATGTGACAAAGAAAACATGCGGCTTCTAAAATGTTGTGTGTATTTTAGTATTATGCTTAAGGAATGAAATCATTAAGGACGTCATTGTTGACTCGTGCTCTATTCATATATCTTACAAGGACGTCATTGGCAATTTTAAATCTAGAACAATATTTGACTCTACTTATCGAAATCTGTCTGTTCTGACACTTCCAATCTTATCTGATAAATCATATTTTAAAAAATCAATTCCTTTTCTTTCAATCCAAATAACGATCATTGCTGATGTAAGACAAAATTAGTGAAGGAAATTTTATTATATAGATTATTGAATTTAAACATCGATTGCATGTTCATATGATTACTTTCAACAATTCCCTGTTGAGATATACGTGGAAACAAGATTGAGAATGCACAAATTTCTTTTTTCATTTCTTTACCATGTCTAAAACGATATCCGCCAAATGGTACAATCATTTCTCTAGTGAATATTCATTCATTCTATTGATTAGGTTTTTCATTATTCAAATATCAATTTGATTTTACATTCGAAACAATTCTTAATGCACCATTAAATTCATGATTAAAAAGATATTCGAAACAGAAATTTCATGACTTTACATAGTATTGAGTATGTAAATAGTGCTAATGTATATTATCACTTTTTTCCGTAGATGTAAAAATTGAATTTTACACTTGTTTGAGTATTATATAAAATAAAAGCTTTTCTTGAGTTAGATAATAGTAATTAAACTTTTATTTGTAACAGAACCTTGGCATTCATATGTACTGCTCTTTTATTCTTACATCTGTTGTGCTTATCTGCTTGTCGAAATATTTCATATGATGATAATCAATTCTCGCACAATCAACTATCCATTAGTATAGTTGTATCGACAGTATGATTAACATGTAGACAACATTGTCCAGTAATACATATGGTTAGTTTGCATAGTTAAACTATATTTAATACAAGATACATATTTTTCTTCTGACTAAATAATACAAAGATAATAAGGTTAATAATATTTGTCCTTCATTGTTTTAGTCAAGCAGAACGAGAGGTACAAATCTATTTCACTAGAACATTTACCATTAAGAAAAATGTGCTCTTTGGTCTGTTTCATTGCTAATGCGTTTCTACAAATATGTTTTGTCAATTAGGTTGGGATATTTCTAAGAAAATATTATTAGTAATTCAAAACTTATCTATATATCATAGTATGATATTCTACATAGGAATTTAAAAGGATAATTTTTTATACTATGATACAATTTAAATTTTGAAAATATTGCTCTTTACTAATATAGAAAACAAAAATCTATCAACCAAAACCTATTAAAGTATCTTATTCAACATTCCGATCGTTTATAACTGACTTCTACAACTATTACATACAAAAAGGACGAAAAGAAGAAGAAGAATATAGATTAATATATAATTATTGAAGAACAATAAGTATTGACATTTGATATATACAAGCGTCTTCGTCCAACAAAAAATTCACTGTTGTCAATGACAAAAACCGCACAAAAGAAAAAATTGAACATAAGACAGTGACAAGAAACAAAAAAACAATAATCGTGAACATACATATATATTAAGTAAAGAAATATTTGATCCTCATTTGTTTTTCAACAATAACTTGGATAAGAAAACTATTCGATAATTTTATATATTGCCACAATTAAATAAGATTAATTTTGTTTTTCTTTCAATACATGCAAAATTTTCGGATTAATAAACAAGAAAAAAAAAATGAGTAAAGAAAATTGTTATGACAAGAAAAGAAAATGTAAAGGAAAATGTTTCTCTTTTAGATTGAGAATAGAAGACAACATGTATGAGCTAAAAGAAGACATAGCAAAAATAGTTTGTTTTTTTTATTTTGTGAATCTATGAAATATTTCATCGCCGTATAAGATCATCATCAAATGGATTCGTACCGCGTTTAGGTGTAAATATTGTTGGTTGTCGATTATTTATATTTGGAGATTGTGCTTGAGCAGCCATTGAATAACCATATGGTGAAAATGGATTTGTTGGATTATTACTTTGAACAAGAGCATTTAGATTTGAATCGAATGCATCATTAATTGATGTTGGTAGTGGCGGTGACTTTAATTCATATTGTTCTTGTATTTGATCATTAACAATTGGAACTTGATTTGTTAACCAAACATTTGATGATAAATTTTCATTTGTATATATATTATGATTAGTATTAATAGTATTCGTAATTGATGAATACGATGATGGAATGGATGAAGGTTTTATTGTAGGTTGAGTAGAAGGATTAACTTGATTTGTATTTGTTGAATCAATTAACGATAATTTATTAAGTTCATTCGTTGTTAACACAGGCTCTACTTCTTCTAGAACTAAAAGAAAGAAAGAAATAAGATAAAATCTCTTATTTTAAAAGCTAAAAAAAGAATTTTTTACTTGTATTCGTAGGTAACTCTTTATATTTTGCTTCTTGTATTGATGGCAAATCACTGGGTCTTAATGAACTTTGTCGTTTAAAAACACCTGATGATGTTTGATTAAGATCACCTAAACGAAGTGATGCACTACGTATAAATGCATCAGAATCATTTCCTTTAGGTCGTGGTCTTTCAATGACACCATTTTTTTGATTAGATGAATTTATTAAATTTGATGTTGCTGTTGAATTAGACGGAATTGGTTCTATTCAACAAACAAAAACACATTATTCAATACGAAATAACCTAGTCAAGAGATAGAACCGGTCGATCTATCAATAGACAAGTCGTCACCGACATGTCTGATTAATCATTTTTGCTCTTAGTATCTTATAAAGAACGTGTAATGAAAGTTGCCTATGTCAAATACCACTATCTACAGATGGAATAGTGCCATCGTTTTTATCTCTGATCTATTCAATAAAAAACAAAACAAAAACTAACCAGCAATAATAGCACTTTGTGGATCAATAATACGTTCAGTAATAGATGTTGTACGAAATGAACCGAAACGTGTAAAAGATGTACCATTTTGAGAATATTCAACAGTAACACTACATTCACGATCACGTTTTTGTTTACGTTCTAGACAAATTTGAAATGCGCAACCAACAGCATGACTTAAACGTTCACCCTACATGAATGATATGTCGAGTTTTGTTTTAGTAAAGAAAAAAAAATGTCTTATTATACTGAATCTTTAATAGCAAGAAAACCATGACAAAGCCATCGACGTGTTGTACCATCACGACATATATATGCAAAGCCTTTATCATGATGACGATCGGGTGCACAAAATGAAACTTTTTCAATTGTTTGATCAACAATAAGACCCTAGATAGATAGACACAGAAAGCACGAAATTACTCGACCTTTTCTTATCTTCTTGAGTTCGCAAAATGATATTTTATTGCTTTTAATTTAATCAACAAACCTTATTTGTTTCATCAACAACTCGAAGAGCATCACCAGATATATGTAAAACAGCTTTAATATGTTTTACTTTTTGCTAGAATATAAACAAGAAAAAAAAAAGAAACAATAAATTAAAGTTTCGTATTTAAAAAACATTACATTTAATAAAGCTTGTATAGCTTGTTCACAAACATGCATTCCTCGTGATTCTTGAACTTCAACACTTCCAAGATACTGTAAAGAATTATTTATTTTTTATTAATTATTTTTATATAAAATAGATTTTACCTTAACATTAAAACTACAAGCACCAGCACGTACAGCTTTTTCATCATCTTGCCATTGTAGTGGTTTATTCTCAGCTGTTGTTGTTGTATTATTAACATTTTTAATTGGGGTTGTTGTACTTAAATGATTATTATCATTATTATTATTATTATTATTATTATTATTAGCTGTATGTCCTTTTTTTCTACTACGAAAACTTAATGTTCGTCTTAATCTATCCATTTGACGATGTTTTTTTCGTCGAATTAATTCAGTATTCGGTGGTGATGGTAAAGATTTTGGTTGATCGTCTAAAAATATCTCATATTTATCGTAATTATAGAAATAAAAACACAAACATAAGATCATGCAAGCAAAAGTAACATGCAAATATAATAAATTAAATTAGGAGAAAAGAAAGCAATAGCAAAAATTATTTCGTTTAGTTTTTCAAAACAAAATATGATAAAAAAAAAAAAAAAAAGAAGATTATTGATCATGCAGAAAAACATGCCTTCGTAAATGTGCTAATCAAGCATTGAGTGAATAATCGATTATTTTTTTTTTGTGTTTGTTTTATTCTTTAAAATGTTAAGCTTATTTTTACCTGATCCTATCGGTAGTGCTCCATTTGTTGGTGGCACCGTTGTCGATTGACAATATCGACTTGAATGTGAACGGCGCGAATGATGAGCGCCCATATGTTTATTTTATTTTATTTATTTATATTCGTGCGAAACTACTTTCAAACAAAAAAAATCAGGGAATTACGCAGGGTGGATACAAACTAATATCAATCAAAACACAAACAATAGATTATACTTCGTATATATTCATATAAATAACATACCAAAATAAGAATTTTTTATTATCTATTTTAATATTCAATCATCTAAAATATTATTAAAGTTATATTTAAGAAATACAAAAAGCTAATTTGTCTTCGTAATAGAATAAATGTCTCGGAATGAGGAACAAGTAAGCAGAAAACGAAGAAAAAACAAGAAAGCCAATTGAAAGATAGAACAAAATCCTGATCGATAATAGAAGAAGAAAAAGAAGAAAAGAACAGAAATACGAAATGTCACTATTTAGAATGGATTGATTCATTTTATTAAAATACATCACACCATATACATCAATGACCTTCTTGAATAACGACGTGAAGGAACGTCATCCGCGATGAATATTAAGAAACGTGAATACACGGTTTTTTTCTGTCCTTCTATTGAAGGGATATGTGCATTCTTTATTTATCCTATTTTTTTCTCCTTTTTTTTTGATAGATTCTCTATTCATGTATATAAAGAAAAAAAACATGTACGATAATGACTAATTACAAGAAAAGAAAGACAAAAATTAAGAACAAAATTCTCAAAAAAGAATTTTTCTTTCATTATAGTTTTTCAAAAATTCCTTATCTCTACGTTATAGTAAAAGAAAAAACAAATAAAATAATAAATAATACGAAGAGCAAAAAAAAAAGGAGATAGAGAGATATATAGTTGTCGCTACAAAATAAAATCTCTATAAATAAATATACATGTGGCGCCTTATTTTATTCATTTATATATTGGATGAATCGATATACGAATAAAATGAATTGATGATTATTTACTTGTTTGTATTTGTCAATACTGTGTTCTTTTTTTTCTCTTATTGAGTTTATCGTTTGATTAATACAATGACGGATGGCAATGCAAATGATAATGAAGCAAGTAATGATAATACCAATGCTATAATAGAGAATTATCATCAACTACCACCACCGCCACCGCCACCCTTACTGCCTTTAAGTAAGCATAATGTTACATTTCATAGTCATAGATACAGTGGCTACCAAAATAATTTGATTAGGTTTATTGTCAATTTTTTGTATTGTTGTAAATATTAATAAGAATTCAAATAGTAAATTGTGTTGAGAATTTTTCTTTCCAATAAGAATTTTCGAAGATGGAAAAAAAAACATTATTGATTTTCCAAAGATGAGATCTCTAGAAAGTTGAAAAGCGAGTATTTTATCTCCTGGAATTCTATTTGAAATACTCAAAATGATCGAGAAAATAATTCTCTATCAAATAAAGTGTCTCACAGCTCTCTAAAATGTTCTTTGATCTTACGGAAGGCGTAAAAATGATATTTCTATATGGAATAGAAAAAAAATAGCTGTTAGCACAATTCCAATGGGATTAAAATACAAAATACGATGTAGCTGCTTTTGCTTATCACAGGAAGATTGCTTTTTTCTGTTTGTTTTGGGACACACATCTTCACCATCTTTTTACTTAATCCTTCAGAAGTGGAGTAAGGAAGTAGTTCTTATATTATAACGAGACATTATTGATATTCAGTCTTTGATAGTATGTCAACAATGTATTGCACGATCTGTGAAGGAAAATGGAATGTTGCTAAGGCGTCTGTTACAGCCTGTAATAGTCTCAAGCTAGTGTTGTCTGTCGTGGATTGAGGGGATGATGTTCAAATTTTTACTCTATATACTTCAAAACTCCTTTTAGATTGTGTTTCACAAAACGACTTTGATGTCTTCTGTAGGATTAAAAAAATATCATAGAGAGCTTGAAGATAATTCATTTTATAGAAAATCATTTTCTTTATTATTCTGGATGACTCTAACCAGAATTTCAAGAGATGAAAAATTTGAATTTAGATTTTTTAGAGACTCTATCTTAGAATAATTAGAAAATCCTTTTGATCTTCGAAAATTTTTATGGAAATAAAAATTCTTTAAGTAAATTATCATTTGGATTCTTATCGATGTTCACGGCAATAGAAAATAAACTTAGTGAAATTATTTTGAGAGTTGCTGTTTATGTATTCTTATTCTTTTTGTTTTTTTTTGCTTGTTAGAAATAATATTAGAAACAAGTAATAATTCGACAATTGAACGTAGTGTTCATAATGTCTTACGTAAACATTTTCTTGAACAAAGATCAATAACATGGAAACCAGTTAAAGTTGAATTAGTTGTTAATACACAATTGACAGATGATTTTTTTGGTAAGTATTTTATTTTCCATCAAGAAATTTTTTTTTTTTTTGTTGTTAAATTCAATTTCCTATCTATCGATTTTAAAATAAGAATGAAACTGTAAGTATTTTGTCGCTCATATTTTCCTCATTTCTATTCTTGTTTTTTTATTTTGTCAAAACTATTATATAAGAGATATATGTTTTATTTTTTTCTCTTATTATCGTAGACAAGAGCAATACGTGCGTTATGTTATTTGCCATACTAAGAATAATTTACGTATATTTCACTTAATATTCTAAATTTAAATATTATATGCCGCTTTATATAATAATCGGTTTTTTTTGTGTGTGTATACGCACTAGAATTATTGAACATACGATCTAGTTTTTTAGTTATCCTTCTGTGTCGATTTGCACCTATCGAGATATTTTAACACAAACACATGTATATATATATATATACTATTTTTTATGTAGTGGGACGCTTTGTACGTTTTTTTATTGCAGTCTCAACAGTGTTTATATACATATATAATTTTTTTTAAAATTTGATCTATTATCTACACATATATGACATTGTGCATGTCGACCAATTGTATTGGTCGGTAAAAATTCTCATTGTGAAATTTGTACTAAAAACAAAATTTACTAATCAAATGTTTTCTTTGCATGCTTATCGTCATTAGAATAGATGTTTTTTTTTCTTTCGAAACAATCGTGTAATTCTTTTTCTGATAGATAATTGCTTTCATTCATTGATTTATATAGCCTCAAAATACACCTACACATAAGACGATGCAATAATATGCATGATTCAATAAAATTGAGGCAAATAAATAATTTTCCCAATTGATCACTTATTTAGTTTGTTGTATCAATAACTCTAATCGATAATTTAAAAAAAAAACAATATTTAATAAAAGTTTATTCTACTGCTTTTTGTAGGCGTATTGCATGTGTGTTGTCTTTTTTGTTTTACTGATTTTGGACACATTGAACATTTCTAACTTCGACAGTTGTAGAGTGTGTGTATAAATATACATATATAAAAAAAATCTATATATGTGCGTGCTGTCTTAACTTCTTATTTTGCGCGTAAATGCTCGCAAATATTAGTCGTGACAGCATGCGCTCTTATTACAAGCATATGAGAAATTCTCATTCACGGTTCATGTCATGTTTTTATTTGTCGATATTTGATTTGCTGCTTGTTGATATTTCTGCCGTGAAAGACAAAAAGAAAATAATATTGAGTAGAGAAATTTGATAATTCTTTGTTTATATTTACCTAAATTTAAATGTTTTGTGTTTATTATTATCATTATTATTATTATTATAATTATTATTATTACAATTCTGCCCTACTGACACACGTATACACTTTGTACATATTTATATAGCTGAATATGCCTCTCAAACAATATTTTTTCTCATTCTTTCTCTTAGTTTGATATGGTGTTTGATGATATATGCTTGCTTTTATCTTTGCTAATTTGGTTTTAATAATTTTTGTTTTCAAATTTAATTTAGTTTTTGTTTCTTTTATTCATTTATTTTATATTTTAGCTATACGAAAAAAATTCGAAAAAGCATCTGGTGGTATTCGATCTGAATTCGAAGAACATTATGGATTTTTAATAGAAAATGATGCTCAAGTATCTGATATATGTAACAATGGTTATCATTGTACAGAGACTTCATTCAATGTTCTAGGTAAATACATATGTATGATTTCTTCTTTCTCAAACACATTCTTTTATTTATATCTACTGATTTACTTAATGGGCAAGAAAGGGAAAAAAAACAGATTTAGTTAAACAAAAAAAAAAAAAAAAGAAAACTAGAATATTTGCTCCGGGCTTATTTTTTAACAAAAATAATTTTTGTTCTCATATATGCAAATGTTTATATATGCTTGCTTATCTTTGCCCTTATATCCCTAAAGACACACATACTATCTATATGTATGATCTAGTATGTATGTGTGTAATAACTTGGAAATCTTGCTCTTATTTAATCGTAAGTATCTAAATATCACTATCATGCAATATAGATCGCTCTATATCTATCTCTGTTTTTCTCACTTACCATTTGTTTTATTTTCTGTTTCGCTCTAAATGGTTGTTAAATAAGCGCGCAAGCTATTCATATTACATATATATATATCAGTTATTGTTTTTTTGTTTTTGTCAAAATTCTATATAATAATTATTAAACAAAAAAAAAAACAAACAACCAAGCTCTCACTTTGCATTATCATTGATTGTGATTCGATTTTACTAATCCTTAGAAAAAAAAATAATAATCTAGCAGCATCTTGTTCTTTCTATTTTTTTCAAATCCCCTTTATGCTATTGTTGTGTGTGTTTACACATTTTTTGTTCGTTTATATGTCTTTCTTTATATTATTATTGAAAATTTTTGTATATATGCACATATAAAACAAATTTGATCCTAAATGCACAATCTTCACTGATGTTTTTTTTTTCTATTACTAACCATTAAAAAAAAATGATTATTGCCGTCGCCGCACGTTTACAAAAAAATAATAAAATACTGTTTATAGAATTTGCTTGCATGTGCTCTCTGTCTCTCTTTTTTTCTTGCTGTTAATTTGTGTTTTCTATTTTTTTTACATTGGTAAATGGGTCTTCTTACACTTAGACATATTGATATAAATGCACACTTGCATGGGGCTTTGTTATTTAAT